TAAGATTCTTTTGACCCACAGTCTTCATATTTGGCATGGAGGTTAGTCATGATTAGTAGATGGCCCCTATTGATTTTGAGGTCACCGGGTCTAAGGTCAAGGTCACAGGGGCCTTGACTAAAAAAGTTTTTCCGCCCCAATAACTAAAGATTCCTTCGACCCACAGTCTTCATATTTGGCATGGAGGTTAGTCATGATTAGTAGATGACCCCTATTGATTTTGAGGTCACTGGCTCAAAGGTCAAGGTCACAGGGGCCTTGACTTCAAAAAGCTTGTCCGCCCAATAACTAAAGATTCCTTTGACCCACAGTCTTCATATTTGGCATGGAGGTTAGTCATGATTTGTAGATGACCGCTATTGATTTTGAGGTCACCGGGTCTAAGGTCAAGGTCACAGGGGCCTTGACTTCAAAAAGCTTGTCCGCCCAAAAACTTAAGATTCTTTTGACCCACAGTCTTCATATTTGGCATGGAGGTTAGTCATGATTAGTAAATGGCCCCTATTGATTTTGAGGTCACCGGGTCTAAGGTCAAGGTCACAGGGGCCTTGACTAAAAAAGTTTTTCCGCCCAATAACTAAAGATTTCTTTGACCCACAGTCTTCATATTTAGCATGGAGGTTAGTCATGATTAGTAGATGACCCCTGTTGATTTTGAGGTCACTAGGTCAAAGGTCAAGGTCACAGGGGCATTGACTTCAAAAAGCTTGTCCGCCCAATAACTAAAGATTCCTTTGACCCACAGTCTTCATATTTGGCATGGAGGTTACTCATGATTTGTAGATGGCCCCTATTGATTTTGAGGTCACCGGGTCTTTGGTCAAGGTCACAAGGGCCTTGACTTCAAAAAGCTTGTCCGCCCAAAAACTTAAGATTCTTTTGACCCACAGTCTTCATATTTGGCATGGAGGTTAGTCATGATTACTAGATGGCCCCTATTGATTTTGAGGTCACCGGGTCTAAGGTCAAGGTCACAGGGGCCTTGACTAAAAAAGTTTTTCCGCCCAATAACTTAAGATTCCTTTGACCCACAGTCTTCATATTTGGCATGGAGGTTAGTCATGATTAGTAGATGACCCCTTTTGATTTTGAGGTCACTTGGTCAAAGGTCAAGGTCACAGGGGCCTTGACTAAAAAAGTTTTTCCGCCCATTAACTTAAGATTCCTTTGACCCACAGTCTTTATATTTGGCATGGAGGTTGATCATGACCATAAGGTGACCCCTATTGATTTTGAGGTCACTAGGTCAAAGGTCAGAGGGACCTTGACAATAAAATAAGTTTTTCCCCTCAATTGCTTAAGAATGCCTGTCCGCATTGTATTGATTTTGACATTTTCACATTTGAAGCATGTAGAATACATAACTTAGCAATGCACTGGCTTAGTAACCTCAGATTTGGCAGGGAAGTTATCCTTGAGCTCTAAATGGCCACTGTTGATTCTGACAAAGTGGTATGCGGGGGTATTCACGCCATGACAGTGCCAGTTCTAGTTTTTCTTGGCGTAAAGAAATGTTAAGTGTTGTGTTAATATTTATTAACTTCTCATTTCACTTTTTTTTGTTTCCAAAAATAATATCTAGCAAGTTGGTAAACCTTATACCGAATACTAAACGGAATGAATACATGTACACAAATTGTTTCACAGTAGTTCAGTTGGTACGAAATACTCGTGCACTGCACAAGTACTATGACAACTGCATAATACACACTACACAGAATAAAAAATATTTTTACCGGTATATTTAGATTATTAGATATTTCAATAAAACTATATACGTTTATTTTCCAATTAATTTACATCTTTAGTAAAATTGAAAAAGAAAGTAAAAAGTTAAACAACTTGTTAGGCTCGAACTCGTGAAAAAAATACAGTTGTATTGCATCCCAATGACCTTACCAACTTTGCTATCAAGACATTAAAAATTTTATTTTTTTATCTTGTACTTTATTCGCTTCTAAAAAACCTGTTTTACATATTTTGATAAAGATTGTAAACTTTTGTGTAAACAAAGAAATGCAACGCCACTCTCACATTATCATAGCGGCAAAGTAAATTCGTTGACAGATTGTATTTCAAAAGAAGTAATATTTGAAAAATTAACTGCATTTGTCAAAACATAATCAATTAACTGATGCTCCAGTTTCTGAAACGTATGTGTACATACCAATATTAAAGCAGCACGCCTCCAGATTCTTAATTTTCACGAAAATTTTGAAAATGTATTTGAAAGTAAAATATTGTGAGGTGAACAAATAAAGTTATTCACATATTTCACTCGGCACTTACAATTCATGCAAATTACCAAAAAGAGGTCAAAATATGCAAAAACATCCCTTACTGCGTTGGTAACACAGTAGAAATATGGTGATAAAATACTGCATGAATCTTGAATGTTTTTACCTTTCTTAAAATATTAGTACATTTTTCTCAATTTTCTTGAGATATTTATGTTCATCTGGAGGCGTGCAGCTTTAAATTCATTATGCAACCTTCCGTTAACAATACGGAGATTTGTTCAATTAACTTTACACCGTAGTTATTACAGGTCTTATCTAAGGAGGCCCGGTCAATAAATTTATCGGGAGCATATAACTCGTCATCAAAAGACTTATTCATACAATCAAAGATTAAAAAAATCATATTTATTACCAACTCTACTATTGAAGTCTCCCATTAAATATACAGTTCCTAAAGATTCAAAATGGTTAATATCATTTTCATTATATTCAAATGAATCCACATTTACAGCATTATATGCTGGAGAGTCCTCACCCAACAAGTAAACACCACATAGTAAATATCATTTTTAGTATGGAAAAAATATTTGTCGAGTTTAACCCAAATTAATGTATCGAACCTATTCTCAACAATAGAAATACCTGGTGATATTGTTTCTTTATAATATATTCCGACTCCGCCATTCGATCTTTTTGCTCTTCGGTGTTGGAACTGTCTAAAGAAATTATGGGTTTTATATCCAGTAATGTCAATTACACTGTTCTTACACGCAAATGTTTCATACAGAAAAATGATGTCATGTTAAGTAATTATATCCAAAAGTTCGTTTTTGTCTCTTTTAAATTTACTTAAACCATTTATATTCCAAGAAATAATTTTCAGTTCATCCCCCGCAAATTCCTAGTCCTTAACTGGTTTGCCATCTATGTATAACGTGTCGTACGTTAACCATGCAGTTTTACCTTGCTCACGCGCCTCTCTGTCGAATACTTCCCTTGGGAGTTGTTTCGTTAACAAAGTATGGTGTACCGGACAGGGCTTTCTACTGTTTCCTCACAAGTTCTCTTTCCTTAAACAGGGTGAATTTGGCAACAATGTTTCGAGAGCGACCATTGGTTTTTTTGCCCATTCTATGAACTCGTTCGAAGGATATTTTGTCTACGAGGTCCTGAGCTACTTTCTTTTCTTTTACCATAAATTGTCTTAATATATTTTCTGTGTCTTCATATTTCTTTGAAGGGGTCTCAATTTCTCTGAAGGGCCTCAAGAGAATGAGCAAAAACGTTAATAAGAAACCCATTCTTCAATATCTGAAAGACAAAGCCTCAAGGCATACATACAGAATATTTTTAAATATTTTAGATATGTGGAAATTAAGTACATGTATTCATAATAATCTTTTCAATGCTCTTTGAATTTTCTAAGTGCAAAATTATTTTCTGTTTTGTTTTTATTTAAAGCTTTTTAAAGTATAATGCTCACTTTGTCTTTCAGATATTGAAGAATGGGTTTCTTATTAACGTTTTTGCTCATTCTCTTCACATGCCATCTTATGACGAAAATAGTAGTACGAACGGAAAAACAAGGTAATATCTTAGCCACAATAGATAAATCTATACAAATCTATTATTAATCAAAAAGGAGTTTCTTAAGAATTCCATCGTATTCTAACTGTTACAGTCACATAACGACATGCGAGTTTTACATTTTATATATTGTCATTTAATTTCATTAACGTTCCTAAAACAACACAAAAATGTAAACTCGTAAATCATCTGAACAATATCAATCACTTTATCTAAAGAAAAACTGTTTACATGACATCATTGATGCGCCGGTGAAATGATATTTATAGTTCATAAAAAGATTAAAAATATATATGGACAACAATTTCTTCCAACGGTATTGATTTATACAGATGAGATTATGCATTGCTCATAATCTATTCGACATATATACGTATCCGTTGTATCTTAAATACAACTTTTCTATGATGGAGGCATTGAAAAACACGCACACACACGCGCACGTACGCATGACAACACGCATATTTATTTTCTTTCCTAGAACTAATTAAATTATTGTAAACTATAATTTATTTCAAATCATTCAGTAAAGACTGTAGCTTCTCGTGTTAAGAAAATTAATAATTTTATTAATTTTTTTAAATTCCATAGATTATATAACAAATTTCTAGCATTACACCATAAGATGATACATAGATGATACATAACCTTGTAATATATTCATGATACATGTATGACATATATTCAAATCATCATGAAGAATTGTTTCATCTACGTAAATATGGTGCTGCCTTTTTCTTCAGATATTGCAAAGGGATGTCCAGTTTTAGATATAACCATCGGATGTACAGCACAGTTTGTAAATGACAAAGGAAAAAGTAACGATGGCGATTTCAATGAAATTGGAAGTTTAATAGAAACTTGGAATAAGTCATCACCAAATGAAAAAGCTTATTTGCAATGTCAAGAAGATGGGCATTATAACAAAATAATGTATTGCCTTTATATAGACAAAAGCAGTAAGAAAAAATTATATCATTAAACTTTTATATTCATGCCTCTTTATTGCTTGAAGCTGCACAATAGTAATTTTCATAATTACAATGCGGTCGTTTTTCGAGTGTCTATGTGTCATTCTTTTAATATGACTGAATGTGTTATATAAAACTTTCCATAAAACATTATGATTTCAATATTTTTATCACTATTAAGCATTTTCTTTCTAGCTAGATGTGATGCCTCTATATACCAGCTTACAAACAATTTGATAATGAAACCAAGGCAAGATACTTTTCTAACAGGACATATTCTCCGCTTTACCTGTGAAGCAGATTTTACATTAGAAGGCCCTTCAAGCATATACTGCAAATCAAATAACACATGGAGTAATGAAACAACACCACTATGCAAAGCTTGTTCTTATCCGGGATCCTTAAAAAATGGTTATTATACAGATAGTAAAGGAAATAATTACACTTCTGACGGTAAAGATATTAAAGAAGTAATCACGGGGCACTGCAATCCAAACTTTGCATTGCAAGGGAACAACAACAGAACTTGTCAACAGGCAGGATATTGGAGTGATGGTGATCTAAAGTGTGTTGCTGCGACATGTGAACCTCCAAAAGACTTCACGTCAAATGGCATTTATAGTTTTCCTAATAGGTCCGAGCCTTCAACTGGTAAATTTAAAATTGGAGAAAAATTAATTCTTTCATGCAATAAAGGATCCTTTTCAACGGATAATAATTACATTACATGTAAAATGGGTGGAAAATGGTCCTATGATATGAGTAAAGGGTGTCAACCTGTAGAGTGTAAGGTGCCAGGGAAAGAAAATAACGTAAATTACACGATAGTTAGTGGTTCTGGCAATATCATTTATACAGGATTAACATTGCCTTACCGTAGTCAGCTTAATATCATTTGTCTAGAAGGGTACATTAATACCGTCAATGGTAAACTAGAGTGTAATGAAAATGGGCATTGGTCTGGTGAAACACCTTTTTGTATCAGAGTTACGTGCAGTCCCCCAAAAATACTTAATGGCTGGTATAAAGCCAGTAAAACTACAATTGCAATGCCTACATCTTTCGGATATAATGAACAAGTATATGTTAATTGCAATGTTGGTTATGTACTTAAAACGCATTCACAGCGAACCTGTATAGAATTGAATAAGTGGAGTGGACAGGAAACAATTTGCGACAAAGTAGTTTGTGCAATGCCAATGTGGAGGTCAAACGGTAATTATATGGATGAAAAAGGTGAATTGTTAACACAAGATAAGATGGAATACAACACAAGCATAACTTTCCATTGTGCAACTGGATTTAGATTGACAGATGGATCATTTAAACGACGATGTGATGCAACAGGAAACTGGAGTGGAAAAAATCCCACATGCTCACCTAAAACATGCATCAAACCGGATGAGATATGTGGGTATTATGCTATAAACAGATCAAATGATCCGCAATCAAACCTACCATCGGATATCTCATATAACACTACACTTCTTTTTGTCTGTAACAATTCCAAATATTCTTGCGAAAACAATACCTATGAGCTTAAATGTTCAGAGGATGGAAACTGGCTTGGAAAAAAGCCTCTTTGTGGTGATTATTATTTATTTCTATAAACTGAATATTTTTTCAAATAGTCCCTGTAAACTTTGTTGAAAGCTTTATACAGAATTTAGAAATATCTTTTGAATCTCGAAAGTGTTTCAATGTATGAGTCAACTGCTTGCCTTATCTACAAAATAAAGCAAAACAAAAAGAACAATATTTTTGTAAATTTCTTGGAAGCATTTTTTTTTATTTTAGTGGTTTTTTTCAACATATTTTCAGAGATCAAACAGGCACATTCGGATCACACAGACGCGACCGCCACAAATTCTGATGCAATAATAGGTGCTGTTTGTGGAGTGGTCAGTGTTCTAATAATTGGATCTGTGGTTGTTGTCACTGTCATTTTTATAAAAAGGTAATCAAAATGATAAGCATCAACGTCTTTGATCATTTTTATATGCCCAAAGAAACTTCGGTACATATTATGGTATGACAATGTCCGTCTGTCTGTTCGTCTGTAAACAATTGGTTTTCGCAGGAAATTTATTGAGGATTCCAATGTTTGTAATTATATTTGGCATACACGTACAATATGTCAAAGTCTGAATTTTTGAATCAATTAATAATTGACTAAGTAATGATCCTTTATATGCAACTAAGTAAGCTAAATTATCTTTTAATGCCAGTATTTTTGCTATTAACTAAAATACTGTACTTTTTTCTTTCTTTCACACTTGTAGAAAAATTCATCACATGTGCTATTTTATGTGCATTATTTTGAAAAAAATAAGCCTTTGCACGTATTTTGCCCCGAGCTCTTGTTGCTGGTTTTTCATATTTTTTTCAATTCAAATAACTCATGAAGGTTTTAAAATAGTATTTCACATAATATTCACTTTGACCTAGAACTATGTCTGTATTTTCCTAGGCGGAATGCATTGAGACAAAACAAGCCGGACGATGATAGACAGTCGTTTCGAAGTTCGCTTACACATGCAACAGACCTTGAAATGAGCATTGATAGCCAAGAAACGAACTTTGGAACAGGTAGTTTCTCTATCACTTGAAATGATTTAATAAGCGACTAAGATAAATCCAAATATGACGGGATTAATTTGATTAGAATTGTATTGGAAGTGACACAGTAACACAACTTGAATTTAAATTTACATATTTTCTATTTTTTTCCTTATTTGAACATCGACAATTGGGTAAAAACATAATTCTTCCACCAGGACGTCGGCGGAATCATTACTCTGTTATACAATTTTAAAACAAACAATGCTAATCTACAACTTTATAGTTTATTATAAATAGACTGCATTAGTTTTATGAGTAGTCAAGCAAATACCTCTATAAACATTTTGTGTATTGACTTGTCGTCTATAATGATTTATAAATTAATTTCTCTTTCTACATTATCTTAGTATTAAACAAAAAGTCAGCTTCATTTATGTTAATCTTTGCGATTTGTCGAACCGGTACATTTGTAATTATATTCATAACTGTAAGTGGGCATTATGAAATTGTAACAAAGGAAAACAAAGAAACATTTTTTTTTATCTTTATCACGGCAGATACAGCAAGGAACACAAATGGAGTATATATCAATACCACAGTTGGAGATTCCAACAACCAAACCTACTATGATTTTAGAAACACCGAATCGTTGCCTAAAACAGCAATAAAAGTAGATGATCTTCAAGATATTGTGTTTAATGGAAGTAATGTGAATAAAACATTCGAAGCTCAGTTTAAGGTAAATTTTATAGATATTGTTACGTATGTTTATCAATTAAACCTTAATTGATCTTTGTTTCATAATTGAAGCTCAAATCGTAAAGATGCGAGGAACGAATATAAATGTCTAATTTAAAAAAAAACTGGAACCTGGATTATTTCTTTTTTTTCACAGAAGAAATGTTAACGTTCTTTTCTCAGGGGAATATGGATCAGCAGTACATGATTTTCAATGTGATTGAAATAATGTCATGTGCCTCGAACAAAATGATAAATATTTTCAGAACCAAATGTAACAATTTATTTAATTTCCAATCAATCAATGACTATAAAACAAGATTATTTGGAAAGCAATCTTACAGGTAATTAATAACATGTACTCGTTAGTTCAATCAGTTAATTTTGTCTTTGAAATATGAACATTTGGCTTCTCCATTAAACAATTTACTGTATAATTGTTATTAAGGCCCTACCACAAGGTATGGTTGAAAACTTTTCTGAAGCTGTCAAGCTAGAAAACAAAGGGAAGAATAGATATACGAGACTTTATGCTTGTAAGTAAACAGTAGTTTTCAAAATTATATTTTGATATTAAAGTTATAAATCAATTACTCTAAAAATATCACCCAATGATAGCATAATGTATCAGCATTTGCAAAAACATAATATTGAAAGGACAAACAAGAATTAAGAATTAAAACACACCAGTTAATGACTAAGTCATAATATGGTCAGAAAAAAATAAGCAGGTTAAACAAATTGATTCTTAAAGTTAAGTGAAATAATTTATTATTTGAATTATGCTATTTAGGATTAGTATCTTTTCAACCTCTCATCCTGTATATCATGTGTGAAATATCAAAATTGTATTAAAAATAATCCCGTTTGTTTTAATACAAGATGATGACACACGAGTTGTTCTAAACACAGAGGAGGATTCAATCTCGGATTATATTAACGCATGCTATGTACATGTACGTGCCTCTCTTCTTGATCTCTTCATTTTGAACAATTATCATTTTAAAATAATGTGTTAGGATAACCGTCTACCAGTGGCATCACATATCGTTGATAAGTTAAGTGTTAATATAATCAAGTAATCAAGTTTGAGCACAGAAAAAGCCATTTAAACAATTTTTATCCACTGTACACTTTTCCAGTATTATAATAAAACCAGATTCTTTATACATTACCAAATATCAGACACTTTTCTTGCATTCTTTAAAAGACTATGTGTTTTATATTTTCCTCTTAAAAGAATTATCATTTTTATAAAGGCCATGACTTGACAACTTAAATAGAAGGAGTTATAGCATTATAAGCCCTAATTGTGGACAATATTTGTTACCATATAGAAATATCTTCTTACAGGGTTTCAACAAATCAAGAAAATATATAGCGACACAAGGTAAAACAAAGCTTAAACATATTACATTGTTTTTTTTATTCTAAACACTTTCTAAAGTCATTTTTCATTTAAAATGAATACATAGCTGCTTTTTAAAGTTCATGTCATTTAAAATATTTTTTCAAGTATCACATTCGAAAGATAAATTTTAGGACCAACAAAGAACACCGTGGCAGACTTCTGGTGGATGGTTTGGCAGGAGGACACCAGCAAAATTGTAATGCTGACAAACTTAATAGAAGAAGGAAGGGTATATAGATTGACCGTTTTTATATGATGTTCAAAACCGTCCCAATTTATTTTTTCATGATTGTGCTTAATTGGTACAGTTAACTTCTCTAAAAAGTGCTTCGGGTATTTTGTTCAGTTACTGTCGTAGTTCTTTTTGTTCTTCTTTTTAAACAGACAAGCTAAATACATTTTTGTAGTTTAAAAGCGAGTGACGTTTTGACTGCCCGCAATGAACTTTGCCCACCTTTGTTGATCCTTTTTAAACACTTTCATTTACAGAATAAGTGCATAAAGTACTGGCCTGATGACATGGAGGAATCTTTTGGAAAGTTAAAGATTTGCCTTAAAAAGGTGGAAACACATTCCCAGTTTGATATAAGGACTCTATCGGTTAAAAAGGTAATGTCAAGTTAAAATAATAATTTGAATACCTTATTTAATAATACTGAACGTTTGGAACATCGATTGCACAAGTATGACTCTAATATTTTCTCTGATAAATAGCGGTTTATGAATCAATTTCTATTTTAATCTCCAATTGTGCAGTATTATAGATCATTTAATTATAAACACATTTGGTCTTTTACTGATTGTTAATTTGCCCATGTATATTTTATTTAGTTTGATAAACGTCATACCGTTTTCAACGCCCACCATACGGATATTACTATAAACGTTACTACAGAATCATGAAAATAAAACCAATAATGATAGCTATTACATAACAATTTCTTTTTTTTTCTTTATTTTATTTTTTCTCTCGGAAATTTCTTTGGTGTGCATTTATATTTTCTTTTTCCATTTGTAAAGGGTAATTCAGCTGAAAAGACGGTTACTCAGTTTCATTTTACAGTATGGCCTGACAAAGGTATTCCAAGATATGCATCTGCTCTAGTTCACTTTTTGAAAAAGGTGAACAATGCACCTACTCACGGTAGTGGTCCGATTATTGTACATTGCAGGTAAATTCGATGTATATTAGATAAGAATTTCCAAAAACATATCTTATATTAATCTATAAAATATGAAGTGCAATTTCATAAAATAGATACTATACGATTATGATTGTGTTTATTATCTTTCTTTTAAATATTCGAATATATTTTGTTTTAAAAAGGATCCCTAAAATATCTGTTTATACAGTAAACATCAATTTCTCTCTAAGCTTTTTATCAAAGTAACCAATTCAATGCTATTTACATGCTATTGAATTCTAAAAGTCACCCTTTTATGATAAAATGCCAAATTCCACCCAAGACAAGAGGCATGGTTGATAGCTTGTATCAATGTCTATCATCTATGAATTTGCTAACTTTTGCTTTGCTGTGTGTTCTGTAAAGTTTTCCATTTGATCTATATCATGTCATTGCTTTATCAAGTGCTGGAGTTGGAAGAACTGGAACCTATATCGCCCTAGACTATCTTACAGACCAGGGGAAAACACTTGGATATGTCGATGTTGCTGGGTGTGTTGATTCTCTAAGAAAGCAGAGAGTTAGTCTTGTGCAAACATTGGTAAATAATACATATGAATTAATTATACTTAGCAAAACTTGTATTGTATATACTTCTTGAACGTATGATATCGGTATTTAAAGAAGGAAATTGAATATTTTATATATAAATATGCGAAATTTCAAAAATGAAAACAAAGCATTCCTTAAATAAATGAGATACTTTCAAGTCATTGATAATGATTTTGTGCAAAGGCGTTAGTTACATTCGTTTTCCCGCTTACTGCTAGATAACTCAATTGCCACTGTGTCGTTAAATACCAAACTAAACAAGCATAATAATTTTACTCTTTTCACACGTTATTTTTCATAATTGAAATGACATGTTAATTCACCTCATTGTATGCAATCAACGTAAAGAAAATATAATCTTCTAGATAACTATGTTTGACTGAATAAAAAAATGAATGAATCGAATTTGTAAATATTGATTCAAAAGCATACGAATTTTCTTTTGGGATAACATTTATTAAATCTTCTAGACAAGTAATAATTGAGTACAAAGTGATCAATCTGCGTTATCTTTACACCTGTTTTACATTTCAAATGTTTTTTTTCCTTACGCGTTGTATGAAACAATTTACAAACGGTAAAATATGAAATCTGCATGAAGTATACGTGTATAGGTTCAACAACTTACCTTACGGCGCCATATGACCTAAACTGGATTGCCTTACTTAATAGAACTCCACTGAGGTCAAAAGAAAGATAAGTTTTGAATTTCTTTTGTAAATCAGCGAAGGCAATTAAAACAGAAAAATATGAAAACGATCAATAAGAAAATGTACTAACAATAAAATTTAAATCGTTTTTATGTGCTAATCTCGCTCGATTTGAGTGAATGCTTTGCAACTCTTTTCAGTTTTAGGTTATTATTTCACAATCGGAATTATCATTCTGGAAAAACGGAGTGAGCAAATGATGTAAAATTTCGCACACAAGCTTAAGTTTATTGGTCTATATTAATCTCGGACACTTATTTCCAGTCGCAATTTGTATAATACAGTCCCTCTAAATAATAAATCATCAATGCAATCGTCATTTCTGGTATGACATCATTAAAATGTAACTTTGTTAAACAGCAACTGATACCATATTTATGCTGTATAAAATCATTACAGTTTTTACTTTAATGTAACCTTTTAAACGTTTTTTTACCATTTGTTTCATTGTTTGAATAGGACCAGTATATATTTGTTCACCGCGCATTGGTTGAATCCCTAATGATGTCATCATCAACAGTTCCTGCACAGAAATTCCAAGAACGATATTGTGAACTTCAACAAATAGACCCCAACAAAAATAAAACAAGAATTTGCATAGATTTTGAGGTAAGTGCCCTTTACTTGCGAATAATTTAAACTTGAGGTATTTACAACACAGTGATTTATAAATGCTATCCCTGTTTTCGTAAAATATTTTTTTAACAACGTTGATATTATATGGGCACACTATCTTTCTTCTATAAATATGAAATGAACATTCATTTCAATTTAGAAATCAACATAAATGAAATATAAAATTGGAGGATTTATTCTCTAGAATTATTTATCAAATCAATGTAATTATTCATACTTTTATCTTAAAGAATCTTCAAAGAGTCTCGCCACCATCTGAAGACAGTCTGTACGTATCAGCAAAGCTTGTTGTAAATAGACAAAAGAACAGAGACCCTAATGTTCTGCCAGGTAAATGAGTATAAATTCATGTATAGCAAAATCATTGTGTATTCTAAAATCATATCTACACTTAAATAACGTGCTTTACGGAATGTATAAATTTGATTAAAACATACATCTGTATTCTTATCTTTAATTTTATGTAGGATTTGACAAATTGCCCGACAGGTTATCCGACTTTGAAACATTGATTAAAGAAAATGTCACAATACCGGTTATCTACTGAAATCAATAACTTGTCGAGTGTATTTACTCACAGTTTAAGATGAACCAATTTTGCGAATTTATCACCCTTTTCTGTGAATAACATTCTACAAGGAAGAAAATCAGCAGTCTTGTCGGGCTTGACAGGGATTTATATATTTATGATTTTTCGGCTTGGTAACTCTGTTTAATTCTTCCTTTATGCTCGTATATAAGAGTTTTTTCCCTTTATCACCGGGATAACTTTGACTATCATCTAGCTCTATGTATAATACTACAATTGCATTTCAAACAAACCGCGATAATCTGTTTAATGGTACATTTTGGTAAAAAGATCCTTTTGATATAGAATGCTGAAATAATAAGAACATTTCGAATATAATTGTATCATTTTAATTTGCAGTTGAGGATTTCATGCCGTTCGTAACAAGAGATGATGGGAAACCTATCTATATCAATGCCGTGTTCTTGCCGGTAATAGTTCGTTTGTTTGTGTTTCCTTTTTTTCTTGCAAATCGTCGCAAATATTAGAGGCCCCTAAGGCGTACCCGCATTTTGTGTATAATTTCATTATGTAATATGTTTTTAACACTAGCTCCTGAAAAGTTTGATGAATTTTGCGTATTCTGATATGATTTCTGATATGGGATTTGTAAACTAATAGATTTAGACGTCGACATTAACCCTATCGATGCTATGTTTCACAGCGGATAGTGTTAAACAAAACAAAAAAGTTTAAGTGCATGAATTAAGTCACCTTTGTAAGAAAAGAAGATAAACACAATTTATTTTTAAGAAAAATCAAATCTGTTATTACTCTTTAAAATAGTTTTAAAAATTTGTTGCTTGAGAAAAATATAAAAGTTGTTCATTTTTCTCAAATTGGCCAGGTCAAGGATTTTAGAACATTATTTACAAATAAAGTCGACCATAGTTTCAAATAATAATGTTTTACTGTTTATAAAGAGTTACAACGAGAAGAATGCATTTATCATAACACAATCGCCTTTGAAAAGTACACGAGAAGAATTTTGGATGCTTGCCTGGGAACAAGAGGTTCACACTATTGTTATGTTAAACAGCACCGATGAGATAGAGGTAATCCATGAACTAATAAATTGCATTAATGGGAGACATAGACACAATTTTCATTTCTTAGTTTTGATTATTTCATTAATTATTCTGTAAATGTCATCAAAATGAGTACACTATGCAGTCACAGGAACAAAACTTTAAATATTTTCAATTGAATAAAACTGTGGTTTCCTAACTTGATCCACGTGGATCAGGTTACGGCGATTAGATTTCATAAAGGTATCACAGTGAAGTCTGCCACCGTTAATCAATCTGTCAAAAGAATGAAACTTGTTACAATCATACAATATCAACAATATCTGTTCTTGTAACTTCCAGGGTTTGTTCATGTCATATGACTTGTTTTAGAACTACTCGTTGACGTCGGCGTCTAAATTTCGTCCAATAAATATAGATATATTTACGCTTCAAACCAAAAACATATAAAATTTATACAGAAAGTTATGCTGGGACTTCAAAAAATGTCATTTTAGCGTGATTAGAGTACATAAGATTTTTTTAATATTTTGTCATTTATTTGCCTGAGTATCTCTTAAAATAGATTTCATGCCATTGTGACGTTAAAAGTGAAATTATGGAACGAAGTTTTTAATTATGATCAATATGCACTAAAACAAATTGATAATAACTTATTTCAAGAACTATTCAATGGTTTTAAATTGTTAAAAGTTATTCACGTTTCCTGCCCGTTACTGTGTATACACACTAATCAACTTAACAAGAAGCTAGAAATAAGTTCAGAAGACAATTGTAACATGTCAAATAGCGATTTTTATTATTCTTTTGGTGTCAAAATATTTAGAATGACCGAAAACCTACTAGTACAAAAAAACTTTTCATGTTTTACACCTAGTACTATTTATACAATACACATGCATCTGATTTTGTTAAGAATGACGAGAAATATTGGCCTGAGGGGAAACCAACTGTTTTCGGAAACATTCATGTTTCAAAAGTATCAACTGATACGGCCAGTGACCATATCGTTTTGACGCTGTCCCTCAAGAAAAACGATACGGTAAACTTTTAAATTCCTCTTTGACCGTTTAACTATAATTATATATTGAATAGAGTGAGAATGTTTTTTGCAAAAAGGTCATAACTTGCACTCGCTGTATAATTTTGTTTTGGTACATCTGTTTTGAGTGTTTGGTTGATTTTACTGCGCACTTTCCAGTTAAGGTCAAAGGGCGTCGAAATAGCAAGATGGTTTTGAATAACCTCGGGTGTTAAAAAACTTTAAGAAACACCTGGGGGCTCAAAACCACCTCATCCGCCGTAGTTAAGGGATGCAGAATTAGAACCAATTTAGTCACCTATAACCATCACGCATCACGTGGAGTTAAACGGTAGTTGCAATTCTAATGCCTCAACCCGTAAAGAAAACCTTTAAACCACAAGGGAGTGGTGTTCCTGTGTATTCTTCAATTGTTTATATATGTTTAATCCATATTCATATGTTTTTCGAAAAATATGATTTCATTAAGTAGGACTGTAACTGTAACAGTAGAAAATGTAATAAATGTTTTAATGATCTCCACTGAAAACCTATTTGGATTAAAACAAAAGTAATTTAAACCACTTTCCTATATTATCTTCTATTTGCAGACACGACGTATCAAACAAATACAATGTGGAGGGTGGAGAAAAGGCAATGTATTACCTGATTCGCCAGACACTATATTGTCCTTGCTAGAAACCGTGCGGGCATGGCAACAACAAACGGGAAATCTTAAAATTCTTGTTCACTGCATGTAGGTTCTTGTTAACTATTCAAATGATATTCACTCATATTTTTGTACATCCTCCATCTATTCAATGAATATCCATCCTGTCTTTTCCCTAATTGTAGTCTTATATGTTGCATGCCCTCAGTTAGGTTATACTAAATCTTCCATGCATATAAATATAACGAAGCTATGTGCATTTGTCTTTGAAAGCGCATGTGTGGTCGCTAATAGCTTACATCTACTTATACTCCAAATTCTGATGTTGAAAGAAATTATGTAAGCGAACTTTGATAAAAGTAAGTGTGTCTAACTAAGTCCATAATACCGCTAGAATGTTTATATGAGACATTAGGGAAATTTGATTAACAAAGAGAAATACAAACAATACACAATAATCTATTAAATAAAAGATTAAACAGACTCTTGATCACTAAAAATACTTATTCAATATAAGCAGTTTCCAATGAACCAAAATGAAGTTGATTATACTTGTTTTATGATTACTTTAATTTTTAACTATTTATTGTGATTTAATATATATTCTATGTGTAAATGCTCATTGTCAACAGGAATGGATCAGATAGAAGTGGCTTGTTTTGTGTTATATCATCAGTCATAGAACGTATGAAAATTGAACAAGATGTTGCTATAGCGTCTGTTGTAGAAGAGATGAGAAACGCTAGAGAACAAATCATTCCCTGTTTAGTAAGTATTAATGAAGAATTAATAAGTATAGTCACCTATAGAGAAAATTATTTGAATTCGCTCTCGAATAGATTCACACGTAATTAAAAAGTTAAGACAATTCCTCATATCCGTACCTTCTGATATATAGTTTCAAACGTTTTGAATATAATCATTTCCATAGGTATCTCTGTGGTGTCTTATTGCGAATCAAAGATCACGAATATTAACAGTCTATTATTACGATGATTTATTTTCCAGAAATATCTTATACAAACACTTGCTAATAACTGAACACTGCTTAAAAAATGGTAAAAAAATATGTCAATATGTTTCCATATCAATTTGCCATCTTATCAGTTACCGCCAAGTTCAATTTAAGGTTTGATGACATTACGCTAAGTTAAAAAATGTTAAAAATGATATTATCAAGAATCCAGGCACGTCAACGTCAACTACGTCGTAATTAATGTATTAAACAAAAATGTTTTAGATGAGACCATTTCTTCTCTAAGTAGTCCCCCGTTAAGTACAATTCATCGCTTATGAAGAATAAACTGTTTGTAACATTCCTGATCATACAAATAAACGATATTTATAATCACAATTTAAGACCTGAACATATGAACTTTATATTTTCTAAATTTAGTGAAGCCCTTGTAGTATATTGTTTATTATAAAAATCATGATATTTTCGATAATGCTTTCTATTGAGAACTTCTTTTTTGTTCCAGGAACAATATCAGTTTTGCCATGAAGTGGTTCTTAACTTCATACAACAGTACGACACATATTCAAACTTTCGAAGTTAATAGAATTACAAACATTCATGACCAAACCAATAAAAACCAGAATTCAACTATCCGGTGCTTCAAATGTGCTGTAGTTTGTGTCATCAGATGTTATTATGTTTCTTTTTGATGAATTTGATGAATAGAATTTCGCTTTGTAAATATAAATATACATTCTATATCACATTTGTGTTTACTATTAACAGTATAGTAAAGAGATTACATATCAATGCTTGTCAGTTATCAATTATCAATAACCAGGATGTGTAAATGTACACATGTTTTTAAGTTGCGAAGAAGAGTTCTAGAAATTTGGAAATAATACAAATAAGTAATTAATTTTTCAATTGAAACATCAAGAAAACATGCATTTGTCTGTTTGGCTTTACTTCGCACCAACACTGCAAAGGTCCCATGGCGACTATCCAGCTTAACTGGTGGAGGAACGAGAAAGCATGCTTTCAACAAAATTGTTGTGAAAAAAAAGTTTTCAACGAACTTGTCCAACGAACCTTTCCGATCCTTATCTAAATGTTTATGAAAATTTGTTTTTTTCCTCATAGAGTGAGCCGCCATTGTTCGTTTATCGACTGGCCAAAATCTCCATCAAAGTATTTACTTTAAACAGAACTTTAGCCTAAGTTAATAGTAGTGAGGAAAATGTAAAGCGTGAACCATACCTTATTGGTATAGTCACTCCTTCAATACCAATGATATGAAACCATTTAATGTTAGAAATTAAATACTGTTAAAAGTTATGTAATAAACAATGAAACTTTCTACTATGTACATTGGTTTTGTGTTTTGTTCTTATTGGAATGCAATGAGTGTAAGTGTAAGTGTGGCCTCCGCTATCATTTTTATGAAGTTTGTTCCAATTGAATCCAATATTGCTAAATGTTTATTTATGATCGAATTTTTATAAGAATTACAAAACGAAAGCTTCCGATTTTGAACTTAGTTTGCTATGTCATTTCCCTCGAATACAATAATATTTGCTCGAAAGTGAGACTGGTTAGCACAATTGCACATTATGTTTTATTAATCCATTTTTAGTCAAACGAAATCTATTGTTTGAGATGGTATTTGAAAAATCTTGTGTTATTCTAAGATTTTAGAGTTCAGGTTTAAACACTTAATGGCCGGTGCTAGGTACATTTGTTTTGTTGCACTACGGTCATGTTTTTAGTTAAAATAGTGCCAAATATTTTGCAAGACAAGCGGGGAATGTACAATAATGGTGAAGACAAATGTCAATTTGATCTTAAGAGTACACGAATAACGTTAATCAAATAACTTTTAATATAGTAACTCGAAACAATTTCTAGCTACTCTTTATGCACTGAAATGACATCTTATTTGGTTCTGCTGAGGAAGACGGATACACAAATTGAAGGGGCTAGATGAACCGAGAGGGGTCACTTAATACGTCAACTTTTAAAATGGTATTTACCTAAGTGAAAGGATAAAAGCGTGCTCATGCAATTATCTTCACGTCATCCTAAGGTTTACCTTAACGCTGTTACAAAATATAAATCGGGTTAACTTACTGAACAACTGAATTATTGTTTACTAATATGAAAAAACATGAATAAACATTATGAGCAGTTACTGAAACATATAATATAACATTATAATATATTCTTATAATAGTAACATCCTAAAATATTGATTGCAACTCATTATTATATCTATTGCATACCATCATTTTATAAATTTGTATCTTTAGTCAATCAAAGGGTGTCGTTCAACTACGAAAAAGTTTTCAATGTAGGTCTTGATAAATAATTTTGTAAAGCGCTATCAGTTATGACGTTATCAAATAATACATGATATAAAGCTGTCCAAGGATATAAAAATGAGTGTAGATTCAATTCTAAATTCATTGAACGAGTTGTATAAAATTATATTATGCAAGTCTCTGGCGAACTTTCTACGAGTCCGATAAATTCAGCATTGACTCTGCACGAATATAATATTCTTTTTATCACATAACCAACGTACGAAAGGTTTTACAGTGGAAATAATCATTTAACGCTATCAGTTAACGCGTCTTCACGCTACTGTACTATATGTTTTGCGTCACGTCAAAATATAGACACGGATGCAATACCATTTTTATTTAATTCACTAAGTTGTAGTAAGCATGCAAGTCTACAAGATAGAATAAGCCATGTATTTAATATTAAATTTCGTTATTGTTACTGTATATATGATTTGGGAGTTTATGAGTGTATACTTTGATGCAACACATATAATAAAATATACAAGTTAAATGTTGATGCTGCTTATCAAAGACGGCGCCAAATGATATGAACAGTCACAGGTAATATTGAAAATCGTTCTCTATCTCAGTTGAATATCCGAAGCACTAATTAATGTTTTCTCCATGTTCTTGTTATGTGTCTGAAAGTCTGAAATGTTTGTCTGTTGCGACAATTATTAAAACGTCTGGTCAAAGCAAAATAAATTGGATAACAAGAAATATTGAAATGATTGGTAAACTTAAAATGAATTCAAGCCAATATGTGCCGAGAATATGTCCATTTAAATATTGGTGAGAACTGCATAATGTTCGTTCGAATGAATTTGAGGACCAACTGTCTCGAATGAATTTGAGGAGGACGAACTGTCTCTTTTCTAACAAATAGCGAAAATATGTCTGTAATATCAAATAATAGTTATGAATAAATTGATATATATATATATATATATATATATATATATATATATATATATATAATCAATTCTTAGTTACGTTTTATTTTCTTATTTATTAAAGAATAAACTATTTGATTAAAGTAAAGATTGCATAATTTTATTCGCCTAGAATCTAGGTATAGGACCACTAAATGTAGTAAAATATCAAGGTGAAAGAGAACAATCGTCAGTCACAGAATCCTACAAAATAACCTATTGCAAATATTCGTGATACGTTTCAAATAAGCGTACTTTTTTCAAGCAGTTAATCTGTTTTATAACTGAAATGTTAATTTTTTTCATGAATTACATGTCGAACACGTTTTGTCTGTTTTGCAAAAATTATTTCCGCTGTGTCCGTATCGCAAATAAAATGTCCGTTGCGTATTTTAATGATACCTCTTGTTCCCTGCCCGAATTTGGTTCCCGTCATTAGACTAGAACGATCGACTATAGACTGGCTCATTGGCACGTTATTTATTAGGTAGATAAAATTTGATAATTATATTCAAACATGGCACTATCACTTCAGTCAAACGTTTATTATAATCCCTTAAAGCTCTGTGACATGTTGTACATCAGAAAAGCTATTTTTGTAAGAAAATTTGAAAAATTTGAAAACATTATTTTTTTTTGTTAAACCAAGACAAAAATGCACAAAATCCAGTCTAAAATTTCCCCAATTGCTATATGAACAAATGCATATCTACTAGACGGCACGTGCACAAGCCGTCTAATAAACCATCTTTCGGGTCTTGTTTAGTTTGTGTGCTAGTAAGACATCCAAAGAGAAAATATAAATGTTACACAAGTAACAAAAGCGGTACGGGTATGTGATAAAAGGGAAAATACTTGCACTTAAAAAAAAATCAGTAATTGTGACCAGTTAATCACTTCCTTGTTATCAAAATGCAACTTCGTAAAGTGACTCTACTACATTTGGTTTTGGTTTACATTTTTTATCTTATCTGTTTTGCTCGCCATAGTTGCTAAACAAGGAATGGAACGGGTAAGTTTAAATTTGTCATATTTGAAATAAAGGAGATCATCAATTATCATATATTCAAACTTGATAAAATCGTTGAATATATCATAAATCATATAATACTTCTATCATAAATTATACACTTATCAAATGAATATAATTTCTAATTGTCTAAATGAAATGTCAGTAAAGAAAACAAAGCAGTCATCATAAATATTTTTTATTTTTGCTATAAATGTTTTTAAAACAAAAGATCAAAATAATCAAACGGTCAAAAGCGGGTTCGACGTCCCCTGTAAAGTATTGAATGAAATATAATCTACTTGTGGTTATCTTTGAAAATAACTTATGCAATATTATTGCCCAAAAACATTGTCACACATTTACAATTTGAATGAAATGAAGTGAATGATAACAAACTTTAAAAGGATTTTGTGACATTTTAGGTATTCAAAACATTTATTTGGTGATTAATTCTTCAATAATAATTATTGAACAGATAAACAATTCATAACAATATTTAAGGTTTTTTACCATTTATAAATAGTATGATGGAATTATATAATTTTATATGATATGCTTAGTGAAACTAACTCTACGCTAGGTAGAATTCTAAATAGTCTGCTCTTGAATATTATTTCAATGAAGCATAATAATTATTGTTAAGGGTCGATTTGAGATCCTTTAATTGAATTCATGCGAATATTGACTTTTTGTCCTCCCTAGAAACTTAAAATACTCTCATTTATATGAGAAACAATTTGAAAAGTTAGTAGTTGACTTCTCCATGCCGTTCCTTGTTCTGTATATCCATTTAACTATATTGAATTGTATAGCTTACCCACACTACAATGACTATTTGACACAAAGGCTGCTCGTTGAGTTCCACCAAAGGAAATTATTCTTACTCTTCTTTTATTTAAAATGAAACAAGCCTTTAGTTGGTAGTTATTCATTATTATTTGAATAATAATTGAGATTAATGTATTACATTTCATTATTATAGTTACTCCCCTTTAAAAACATTATAAAGTTACTTTCCCTATTTTCATTGCGCCATTAGAAAAAAAAAGACAGACAACATAATATGGTGCTTTTCCCTTAAAATCAATTGTTTAGAGTGATTTTGTTGCTTAAATCTTTATTGAAATGCAACACGTCATATGACAGGAAGCGCTGAACTCATGACACTGATGAATCATCTCGGACATTGTCAGTCATACACTGGAGTAGGAAACTGTGTAACTCTTGATCGGGACACTGTTATCCCTGATGCAATTTCTGCAAAAAGCAATTGTGCTGGGACTATTTCCATCTAAATAACAACCCATACTGTACACGGAATTGTCATTCAAGAAAGAGGACAGCCGTAAGATGATGATGACGACACTAAAATAGAATAAACATCCACTGATAAACCAAATAAACAGGCGAATAAGACGCGCGTTGTTAAATAAAATCCTGAAAAATTGGCTGAGTGCATAATTACTGGTAAATAAGAACCGTTTATCAAAACTAAAAAGTTTCGACAAAAGAAATGTAAAGGGATTTGCTGTTTCATCTGACTTTCTCTGGTTCATGCGACTGCTACAACATGCCAAGCAGATCGATCCAAGTCTGGCTGGCTGGATCTCTCTAACGTCAGAGTTGCAAAATAAAACATCCTCTACAAAAGAGCACATGCTTCTTATTAATGCCCCAAGTACAAAAATGCCACTATCCAAACAATTCTAGAAATTTCAAAGTGTTTCAAGAGCTGTAAACCAACAGTACACATTTGTGACCTTTGATTTGGCTGCTGCTAAAAAGCATATTCTATAGACCGTATTCAAGTTGTCGCTTTTGGATGGCGTCATTGGGGGATACGGTGGACAGTGCCGATACGATTAAGTACACTAATAGAGGGATATAAAGGTCTTAATTCTTTCTCTTGTAAGATTGGAATAATGAAATTGCCAAAACTTTGTGTAATTGAATAAGATATTACATAAAAAGGATGGTGAAATGAATAAAAATGTTTACTATAATAAGGTTAACGATTTGTTTTAATAGTATACCATATTGCTGGGTAACTGATCATGATTACCATTTTCGTTAGATTCTTAATAATGAAAATTTTACCAGGCAGTTAAATCGTACGAACTTGCTAATACCAGAGATATAGATAATGTATCTATGTCTCTGCTAATATACAATATGCAAAAGATATTTTGTGTTTCAAAAATGTAAGGATTCTGTAGTTTCGAAAAACGACTGCGTAATAATTGATTGCAAGATACTGGTTTATTAAAAATCATTTTGATTTAAGCATTACTAAGACAAAGAAAAACAACAATATAAATTTATAAAATTTCAAAAAAAAAAATGTAAAATGTAAAGGCATAATAAGTAAAAAATCATTTTGAATGTACATGACTGTATACTATTTGTGTCGGCAAAAAATGTACTTTCAAAAAATTGTACATCACACCAATATATCTAAGCTGGTAAAGTAATATTTTCAACTTGATACTTTTACTTCATACTCTGCTTATCAAATATTTAAAAAAAAATCACAAAAAACAAATCTAAAACAAGTTGTGAAACACGTTCACAGAAAAACGTTATTCACTGAATTATAATTTTACGTATTTTTGACTGTGCCAGTTGGTAGGACTCTGGATCGAGTATCAAATCAGTAAGGCATGACCAATAAAGTCCCTAGGATGATCCATAACAAAATTCGGACCATAAATATTTTGACAACTAACAAAAGTGACGTAATCTGAATTAATGTTATAACTCTAAAAAAAACACCCTGGTGATTTATGATATCACAGCCAAGTGCCGCTTGTATATTCAACATATGCACCCTGTTAATTAATATTTTACGGCCCAGTGGCGCTTATATATACACATCTATTTATCTATGGAATAAGTTCCTGGGAAAAGGTCTTTATTTTTTTATCATAAGAATAGCTTTTTAATATCAAAATTATCTTATTATCGTCTGTTGCGAATCTAAAATTATAAAAGTTAATGCCACATGGTTTTCGTTCTTTCCGGAATATTTATAAAATTATATCCTTCACTGGTTCTTTGAAATATTTTAATACGGCATAATGAAAAAGAAGCAGTAAGTATTGACAGAATGCATTCTGTTATTGTTCTATTAAAGCTTGAAAAACAATCATTAAAAGCACGGATTTACATTACTGTAATATAAATTCGTGTTAAAAGACATTGGCAATCTTATTTTCATGTTTGTCACAAATACGCCGGAATTTTCTAAATGACAGAAAATAACACAGAAAAATAGGCAATTTCAGTGTGAATGGGTGTTTATAAAATATTAAAATTTGATTTAGTTACTAGCTTTTTATCCTGACATTATGGGAAATCTAGATGTTATAAATATATTCACTTTGAAGTTTCGCTTTTTCTCTCCATGGCGAGAATTAATCTTAATCTTTGTTTTTGTATTTTTTTCTATTGTCTTGATATTGAATTTATGTATGCATGCGTAAGTTTTTACATGTTATAATCATAATTGACTCTCAGTATTTACGCATTTAACATTTCAATAAGCTAACATTCTATCGGCCTGCATAGTTTTATCCCCCATTTACGTCACATCCGGTAAGGGAAGTAACTCTTCCCTGACTGTTATCGCTTAAATGAAAGGGTCTATAGTATGGAAAACTCCGACTAAGTACAGTGATACTATCATACATTTAGGAACTTTTCGTTTGTTAGGTTCATACCTAAGGGCGATTGGCAAACGGCTTCATGGAAGTGGTTTCTCAGAAATCCTGATAATAGTTGATTGAATGTGCTAATGTGTTAACAGTTGAAGTTCGCAAACATTTTGACGAGTTTGTAGCAGCAGTTATCAAAATCCACAAACCTAGTGCATTGGAAGATATCAACCAAGCGTTAAATGAGAATCAAAGACGTGAACACCTTGAAGATGTGTGAGCTAATGATTTGAACTTTACAAGAGGTATCAAGAGTTCAAGGAAGACGTCAGAAAAGGCCACTTAGGGAAGACGGCACAGTTCTGAATTGATTTATTGATAAGATTTGGCTGGTTCTTCGTTTTATGAAAGTCACGAAGGAGATCTTGACCTATACATATCAACTTTACAAAATATGCTACAATTATTCTTTGCATATGATTATCAAAACTATACAAAATATCTATCTGTATATGTTCTTATGTTGATAAAATGATTCAACACTTGTAAGAAGTAACTTGGCTAGATAAATTCGCACCGAAATAATTCGATGCCCCGAAAACATAATCAAGCCAAAAGGAGTACTCTGTTAGTAATACGTATAACCGACACTCAAACATTCACCATCTTATTTTCTACTTCAAAACAATGAACACTGTTAAGATATTTTTGCATTTTGTCACGTTTGAATGATAAGTAAGACACTTTATAGGATTTAAAGCTTTTAAAAGAAGTAAAGACATGTTCAAATTTGTTAAACTTGTGTAACAAATAAGGTGTTTAAAGTTAAATACATTGATAAAATTTATGATCAATGTTCGAGGGCAATAAACTGCGTCCTTGTTATCATTATTCAACTTGGTTATACTCTATCCAATAGTTTTAAAATCTGCATATCTTATCTTTATGCGAAAAAGGTCATTTATTGCACAAACCGTTTTTAAGAACCAGAATACGTTTAACCAGGAAGGTAGGAAGGGGTAAGTTTGAATTATGCGTTTCGTCTATAATGTAATATCTCTTTTCTCGGCCATAAAGTGCTTGTTCAATAAAATAAGTTGCTGTTCTTTCCTCTTTAATTGTTTATAAATTATGTGACGGCAATTTGTTGACAATACATTTATTTGTCATATTCAAGTGAATATAAATTCAGTAAATTTTTAATAAATATTAATATAATGATTATTGTGCGTAAGCAATATTTTATTTTTCAAAAGCTTTATTTTCTTGTGAACTGTAATAGCTCCCAAAAAGAAACTTCTTTGACAAATATCTGAATCATCATTTTCCTTCTGCTACTTTTTTGCAATTAGTATTGATTACCTGAACCATTTATTTTTGCTTTTGTTTCGATTTTGCATTTAGAAACAAACTACTGTTTTTACTTTTTGCAAAATTCATGACAAATAATTTCACATTCAACGTTACACTCTTTCTTCAGATGATAGGCAACCAACATGATCAAGATGTTTGCCTTTCGTAAAGAAGGAAAAATAATTCGTCATTAATATGGTTAACACTAAATTACATGCAACAAAACTGTATATATCCATAGTAAAATATATAAAGCTAAACGTGAACTATTACTATTTCATGACCGCAAATATTCTATTTATTTATTTATCTTCATTTATTTATAACATTCAGGGCTTAAAACGCTTACGGGTATTTTTTTTATTTTACACGCTACGCGCACGCTGGTATAATGTTTGCAAGTCATGGCATATAAAACATATAATTATATATGTTAAGTAAATAATAAAATATTGAACACCAAATTAGTGAATGTATGTTCAACTGACTTTGATGATAAGCAGTTTTTTAACAAGTCAGATTGATTTACAAGAAAAAGCGAAGTTCAACTTAATTTGTTAAATTGATTTACACCTTTATAAAGATAAATGATTATATTTCAAGTATTCATATTATGAAAATCTGAAAATGAAATTGGTTATTTATCTCTCTTAGTACTCGTTGCAGCAATTTCACAAGCACACATATATACGCATACACAATTCTTTAAATAATATGCTTATTCATTTGTGCATCATTATTTAATAGTGTGCCTAAATTTCGGCACAAAGACGTACAAGTTGTTTAAATTGTGCATGAAAAATAATTAAACTAAAACGTAAAGATGCAAATGACAAAAAAAAAATGCGAAAATATTAAATATATTATAATTGTCACCGTAAACAATGTAACAGTAACACGTTTTGGAATAATTGTCATTGGAGTGCATCTTTTATAAAGCAAACAATCTTTATCATTGACTTGATCATGCAATCCACTATTCCTTAATTATAAAATGTATTTGAAACAGCAAGTAAAATTCCTACTGTCAAAATTTGCCTGATGAATATTATTTGAGCAATGAATTGCTTGCATCTTTGCATCGACAAATGTTTGGAACATATTCGATCTGAAGGACTTTGTTTTTCATGATTTTATTTCAGGAAATTTCTTTAACAACAATAATTATTTTGGCGGTAAATTTGTTGTTGAAGTTGAGATATTGGACTATGATATGACTGCGTTTCTTACATTAGAGCTGTTTCTCGTAACATGCATTTTGATGACAGAAAAAAAAGTAGTACACACACAACAAGGTAATCTATAAGCGTTATAACACTTTAAGATTGGCTCGTTAGAACTCACTTCATCTGGTTGGGCATAAAAATATGCTTTCTTTACATTTGTCAAATTATTTCATCTCCCCTTAACAAAATATTATATAATCGCGGTTTTCTATTATCATAAATAAGCAAAAGGGCGAAACGATCATTTGACATAGTGAAGAACGCCGAACCGATAACTCCCGTCTTTCCTATAGTGCCTGTTGATCGGTTTCTCTTATTCTTACCTGCTGAAGAAAAAAGAGGGTATATGGTTCTGTTCATTCAAGCTCCTAAATGATAAGACAAATTAAATTAGAATTTTCTTTACAAGAGCTACTATCCCTAAGGTCATTAATGGTTTTTGGTGGACGAGTGCTACATGCTTGTGTATATAAAAATGATATCAAATGATATACATCATAATATTGTATTAAAGTTATCTTATGGAAAAGGTACTAGTTATAAATAAACGTTAACGAGTTGTATTTATTTTTAATCTTCAAATGTAGCAAAAGGGTGTCCCCTTGTAACTCCAAGCAATGGATGTCAAGGCGGAATTGTAACTGGTAAACAGAGTGACTTAGGAAAATTCAATGAGATAGGAAGTGTTATTTATATATGGTCAGTTCATACTCATTACATTTACTTGCGGTGTCAGGAAGATGGTAACTATAACGACACAGTTTCATGTTTGACTGTAGACCAAGGTAAGAAACAATTCTAATGTTTGGCGTTATGATTTGCATGTATTTCTTTATTTTTATGCTTCCACGTAACACTGACGTTATAACAAAGAGAAGCTACCTAAATTTTAATTTTTACGTTAAATACACGACATCGTAACTTGATATTACTACCCTTTCTATTTCATTTATATTTATTCGTTTCGATTTCGATAAACCACACGATACCAAACTTGTACCTTTTTAATTTCCAGCTGCATGTTATACGTATACTTACCAATTTATTAGGAACTTGATAAGGAACCCGAGCCAGCCAACATTTCTGACAGGACGTGTTCTCAGTTTTTCATGTGAACCAGGCTTTACATTAGAAGGCCCTGAAAGCATATATTGTAGATCATATCACAACTGGAATGATAATGCAATACCAAGATGTACAAGAGGTTGTCCATATCCAGGAAATTTCAAAAATGGTTACTATTTAGATAAAATGAATGCATTTTACACAAGCAGTGGGAAAGCAGTTACTGAACAAATAACATCGCACTGTTATCAAACCTTTAAATTGCAAGGAAGTCAGATAAGGGTGTGTCTAAGTAACGGTAACTGGAGTGACAGTGATCCGAAATGTGTTCCTACTTTATGCCTACCACCTCATGTCATTCCGCCAAATGACAGGTATGTCTTTTCTGATGGATCTGATTCTTCATCAAAATTAAATCTGATTGGAGTCAAGCTATTTCTTAAGTGTATAAAGGGATATTCTTCAAAAGAAAATGATTACATCACATGTACAGAGGAAGGCCAATGGCACCATAATAAGAGAAGTGGATGTCAAATTGTGAATTGTACAAATCCAGGAGAAGTAGAAAACGGTTTTTACACGTTGAGAAATAACTATGATAATCATCCCTATACAGGACTTAAGGTGTCTTTTGGAACGGCGATCTATGTTTCTTGTCTGGAAGGGTTTGCAATAAGTGAAAATAGCCAGTTGGTATGTAATGAAAATGGGTCTTGGTCAGGATCAAAACCGGCTTGTACTAACATCACATGTGATATTCCTCCAAAATTTGGCAATGGCAAATATCACTCCAAAAACAACGACATCCTCGAATATGGAAAAGTTGGATATAAAGAACAAATATTGGTTCATTGCAATGAGGGTTATACACTGCAAACGCATCCACAAAGAACATGTATTAAATCAAATAATTGGACCGGTGAAACCCCAATATGTGAGGAAATATTTTGTTCTAAACCTTTTCCTGCATCAAATGGGACTTACATGGATAACACAGGTAAAATTCTAACGCAAGATAAGATAAAGTATAACAAGACCATAACATTTCATTGTCTTATTGGATATAACTTAACATCTGGAACAGCAATAAGGCGCTGTCAGGATAATGGAACATGGAGTGGAACAAAACCAAAATGTTCGCCTATAACGTGTACTAAACCAAAAGAGACACCCTGTGGATACTATTCTTCAAACATAACGACATCGGAGGATCCTGTTGGAGAATTCTTGTATAATACTACACTTCTTTTTGTCTGCAATTATTCCAAATATTCTTGCCCAAACAAGACAAAAGAGATTAGATGTTCGGAAGATGGTGTATGGTCCGATAACAAACATTTATGTGGTGACTATTGCAATTTTTGTTTAAACATTCTATTGATAAAAAATATATATCAGTGTATGTAATCTTAGTAAATTTCGAAAACTTAACATATTTCATCTCTAAATATATAGTGTGCATACGTGTGTTAAACCGTATTTAATGGTTTATATTGAATAAATATATTGCCTTTCAAAATATTTTCAAAATTTACTTAAACTTATCTTCTAATTTTCAAAAGTATGAAATTTCTTTAAAGTAAGTTTACAGGTTTTTTTTAAACAATATCGTTTTAGGTGTACTTAAAGACATCAAACAAGAGCAAACTGGGAAAAACGACACCGAATATACGAATTCAGATGCATTAATAGGTGCCATTTGTGGTGTAGTCTTTATCATAGGATCTGGAGTCTTTGTCACATTTATCGTTTTGAAAAGGTAAAATTAAGGGTTTATTATCAGTGTTTTGTTTGTTAATTTCCTACTCATCACTTTTAAAACACTTTACATATAGCTAACACACATTTAATGACTCGTTGTTCTTTTTTCAATATAAATGTAACCTGTGTATCAATTTCTGTTTATCGCTGGTATGTTGTAGCCTCCTTGTTTTGTAATTGCTTAACTGTTGTGTTTTCTTTTGATTGCCTAATTGTAGTAATGTTATTGTGCAGACTGTTTTGTAAGGGAGTTCACTGTAAATTGAAAGGTTTTATAAATGTGTTTACTAAAATTTCACGTGCATGACCCTAAAATCCCGGCGAAACATCTTCTTGCTTATGTAAGATAGTTCAACTTAATACGAGTAACCTACATGACTTACTTAAGTATGGGTAAAAAAGTTACTTTATATTAACTTAAGATACTTTGATGATCCTGGTAAGAGTTTATCTATTTCATTAACATATTTGTAGTACCATATTCCTTTCAATTGATGAATTTGATAAGATGTGTTATTCATTGTTTTGTTAATTATTTGTAGTTGACTTGTATTTTGTTTGTAGGCTCGTTTTGTATGTCTCACGATAATAAAGAATGAACAACTAGAAGATAGTCTTCATTTATCCCCGGGTACATAAATTCTTATTAATGATGTGTTTGCAAATGCATTTGAAATATTGTTGCACGTAATAGATAATTTGCATTATTTCTACAGGCGAAATATTTTTAGGCGAAAAAAATCTGACGATGAAAGGCAGTCATTTAGAAGTTCTCTCACACATGCAACTGACCTGGAAATAATTCATTGATGGCCAGGAAACAAATATTGTTTACAGGTTTTACTTTTCTATTCGTATTGAGGGTTCTTTAAATGGTTGAAATACAACTAAAATAAAATACATGTCTATGGCGTTATAAATTTAAATAGAAGTTGTTTTTTTGAAGGGAGTAATGACATGTACGCTATATGGTGCATCCTCTTTCATTTCTGCCAGTGTTATTATAATTTTCTGACTCTTCAGGAAATTGATTCCAATATTCAATGTGTTAATTACCACTTAATCATGTTTAAGTAACGCTCATGTACCGACCTAATTGCTCTCGGACGATCACCACATCTTCAGGATTTAAAATCAAACGTTCATCAATAAAAGATATATATCATCTCATTAATTTAGCATGAACTATTTAGTAAATTGTAACTTTTAGACACTAAAACGTTTTTCTGTACAGTATGTGACTCTAAAAGATAATGGGACTCTTCAATGTCATCTATGATTATATATATTGGACCCTAGAAAATAATTGAAACTTTTAATGTCATTTTTGTTGATATGGGACACTAGAAAATAATGGAACTCTTCAATGTCATCTATGATGATATATACATGTATATGGGGCACTAGAAAATAATATAACTCTTCAATATCAACTATAATGATATATATGGGACACTAGAAAATGATGAGTCTATGTTGAATGAAAAAATAAAGGGATTGCTCATTGTCGTTTGTGATGATGAGTCCTTTATTTTATTCTTAATATGTTTACATGTTAATCAGTCGACAAATTTTCTTGATGCTTGGCGATTTTTTATTGATATTTTTGTAATTAAATTTATAACGCTAAACCAGGCCCTACCAAATGGTTTAATAAAAGCATTTGTATGAACAGAACGTACACAGATAGGAATGGCAGATTAACATCAAGGAACACAAAAAAAAATAGAGTATATATCAATACAACAGTTGGAGATTCCGGCAACCCCAAAACCTACTATGACTTTAGGAACTCCGAATTCTTTGCCTAAAAACAGCCAAAAAAAAAATAGATGATTCTTAAGATGTTGTGTTTTAATGGGGAAATTTCTGGAAAAAAATATTTGGGAAAAAATAAATTTAAGGTAAAATTATAGAATTTTTTTAAAGGGTGACATTAAAAATTTGAATTTTTTTGAAATTTGTTTCAATTTTGAAACACAAAATTGTTAAAATGATGTCCCAAAAAAGTAAATTTGTAAAATTGGTACAAATAAAAAATTTTTTTTTTTTTCTTTCAGGAGAAATTTATAATAAGTTTTTCAAAAACTTAAAAAGGGGGAAAAACGGTCAGTAGTAAAAAGTTTTTCAAAGCAAAATTTAAATGTTTATGCCGCCTTAAAAAAAATGAAAATAAAAAATTTTCAAAAACCAAAAAGTAACAAGTTTTTTCCCTTTTTCCAAAAATTTTTTAAAAAGACTAAAAAAAGAAACTTTGGAAAAAACCCGTCCCTTTCAGGTAAAATTAAATTCCAAAGTATTTGTTTTGTTCAAACAGTCAAATTTTTGTCCTTTTAAAAATGAAACCAAATTTTTGGGGTCTCC